CCCCGAGCGGGGGAGATTCAGCGAGTCTTCGCATGTTCAGTCTGCGACAACATGCAGATGAACATCTGGAGCGATCCGTCGTCGGAATTCGTATGCAGTGCATGCGGAGAGCTCCACCCCTTCGTGGCTGCAGTGCATGCCTACGATCAGCCAAGCGCCAGTGGCGCTGTGGGACAGTTTTCCCACGAGCGTCGCAGCAAGGCCTGGCAGTGTCCAGAATGCGGCGTGATGCATTGCACACGCTGCGCGAAAAACTACTCTTGCCCAGGCACTGTCCCGCGGACAGACGGCAAGCTCGAGTACAGGGGCGAGCGCCGCCCTACTAGGGGGCCGCCCGAGTCCCTTCGGCTGACCTTGCACGAAGCCCGTGAGCGCGAGCACCGCGAACGGGAGGCCCGCCGCAGAGACGGCAAGGGCAAAGGCAAAGGCAAGGACCAGAGGTCCCGCCGTGACGACGAGGACCGGGACCAGTGGTCCCGTGGTCGCTGGTCTTGGGACCACGACCGGCGCTGGAACCATCGCGAATGGTAGATACGTCAGCGGCGTAATCCAGTGCATTCCGAACAGTGTTCGGATAAAATTTTTGACGGGCCAGTGGCCCTTCCGTCTGCGCCCGTTTCACACAGGTGCAGAGCACAGCAGTGCCGGCACAGTCCGGCCACAAGAGCCTTCGCCGCTCACCGGCCTGTCTGCGGATCGCAGAAGGCAGGTGCAGCGCACCTCGACAACCGGGCTCCGCCCAGAAACTCGCACCGCGAGGTTGGTAAAAAGAACACCGCAGGTTGCGTGTGCACACAGACCTTGTAGGACTGCAGCTTCTTTCGCCTAGTAGGTTTCTTTTGCCTAGTAGGTTTTTACGCAGTGCCCCGAGACCTGGTAGGTCCTCAGGAGGTAACTCTAGGTGCAGTGTCACCATCAGAGCCTGAACTCTTCAGTGCGTGCTTGCCGCAGCCTTTTAAGCCTCACTCTTCCCAGCTCTCTTTTCCTCCTCTCCTCCCTCAGGACTGCATGGGGAGGGTGCGGGTCGCAGCGCGTCGCTTGAGTAGAGCTTTCCAGAGTGAGTGCACTTGTGTTCGTGTGCTGGTAGCCCTTTCCTGAAAGCCACCTGGACAACAGCCGTTGGCTTGAGCAGTGCTCCCCTTCCTTGTGTCAAGGATGCTGCCCAGGGGCAGCGCCCCAGAGGGCGACTTCAACGACCAGGTTAGTAACCTTTGGTCGGCCATACCACGCCGAGCCGGTGCTCGTCAGCCGTGGGAATCAGCTTCATGGTTTGCGCGTAATGCAAGCTGGCCCTGGGAGCTGTCAGTGACTCGTCCCGCCTCCGTGGGCCCCGTGCCAGTGTTGCACGAGTCAAGCCTTATGCTTAAGCGGAAAGCTTCCGCTAGCACCCAGCCGCTAGTAGCGGAAGACACGGCCTTCGCACTTAAGGTCTGCTGCCGTCGTACAGCGTACGAAGGCGACCGCCGCGACAGCGCGGTTTTCAAACTGACGGCCTTGGTAAAGGCCTGGCCAGAGGCTTTCGAGATCGTCTCACAGTGTGCTGACGAAGCCGGTTGCGTCGACCTGGACGAGCTCGACTTCAGCATAGAGGCAGCGCTCAGCTACAAAGCCACCAATACAGTGGTTCGTCGCCTAAACTCCCTCAGCAATTTTGTCCAGTGGGCAAACTCCCAAGACCCAGTGGTGGTGCCCTTCCCAGTGTCAGAGCGCGCCACCTGGCGATACATCCAGTGGATGATGAGAAATGGGAAAGGGGCTAGCAGCCCCTCGAGCCTGATTCAGAGTCTGAACTGGTGCTCGGGAGTTTTCGGTCTTTCCTTCGAGTCGGAGGTGACCAGCTCCCGTATCGTGGGCCTTTGTAAGAGCACGGAAGCCAGCGCGCCTCCGCCGAAAAGGGCCCCCGCCCTTAAGGCCTCGGAGGTAGCTACCCTCGAGCGCATCGCGCTGTCTGGCTCTGTGTACGACAGTGTCGTGTCTGGGGGCTTGTTGTTCATGCTCTTTGCATGCGCCCGTGCCAGTGACGCGGCCCGAGTTGCCTCCTTTTCGGTTGAGCTTCCAGAGGACTCCTGCGCCACAGTGTGGATGCAGGCGAATGTTCACAAAGCGAAAACCGCCGTAGGGGCTAGAAGTCGTCTACTGCTCCCGCTGGTAGCCCCGGTGGTTTTCTTCGAAGAGTCGTGGGTGAGTCAGTGGCTCGCAAATCGAGAAAAGTTGGGCCTTAGCTCCAGCGGAGAAATCCCGCTCGGGTCAGTGATCCCTGCCTTCACATCGGATGGTGATCTAGCAGATCGCCCGATGAATTCTCAAGAGATAACTTCCTGGCTGCGCAGCGCGCTGTCGAACGCCGGCTGCGAAGACGCAGAGCGCCTTAGCAGTCACAGTCTCAAAGCGACTTGCCTCACATGGGCCTCGCAAGCTGGCGTCAACCTGGATCTTCGCAGGCTCCTCGCCCACCATGTGCACGACAGTGCTCGGAGCACCGAGACGTACAGCCGTAACGTGCTCATCCCCGCAGCGCGGGCTCTGGAGGAAGTTCTCATTGCCATCAGAGATGGCGACTTCCTTCCCGACCAGCCGCTCGGGAAACAGTTCGCGCTGCCCAGCAGCCAGCTCAACCTCAGGCGAGAGAACCTTAGCAAGGTTTCTCACAGGAAAACCTCCTCTGGCTCGGCACCCCCAGTGGGGGTGGAAGCCCTGAAGGTTTCGCAACAACAGGAGCTCAGTGACACAGAGGACAGTGCCAGTGACACTGACAGGGAAGACGAGTTCGTCGCCGAGCCCGAGGTAGAGGAGCACCCTCGCCTCAGAAGGGAGGTGCAGTGCACTCTCCCAGACTGGGCCTTTTCGTGGTGTCATCTTGCCAGTGGCAAGCTCCACGCGAGTCGCGGTGAGAATGCCAAGAGGCTTCTCTGCGGTCGCTGTTTGAATGAAAAGTATAAGAGTTGCGAAGTTCGCGACCTGGCCCCGGGCCGACCGCACTGCAAGACTTGCTGGAGCAGCAAGTCTTTCGATGCAGCGTGAAAAGAGAGCGAGTTCATGTGCCTGTCTCTCCTAGTAGGGTCCCGCAGTCTGCACAGTGTTTGCGTCTCTCTCTCTCTCTCTCTCTCTCTCTGTTTTCTTCTCTTGCCCTGCAGGACAATGGCGAACCTCGTCGACAGTGTCGCGGAATTCTCCAGCAGAGCTGGACAACTCCTAGGAGCCGCCGAGTCGGCGAAGCTCCTTGCGGCAGACATCCGCACTTTCGGCACGCTCGCGTACAGCGTCGCCGACCAACCTGACCGCATCAGCGATGCGAAGTTTGAAGAACTCATCAAGAAGGTCTTCGGGGCGGCAGAGCCGACCTTAGGCACCAAGGCCGCAGCGCGGCGCCTGGCCTTCGAAAGCCTCCCCTTCAGTATCCAGGATCTGAAGATGAGGGTCGAGGGTGACAGCGTCACCCCCAAGAGCTTGCCCCTGCACGAGCGCGAGGAGCGCCGAGCCGCGCAAGTCGCGCGCCTCAAGGGCGTCGTCATCGAAGGTGACTACTTGGAAAGTCGGTGTTGGTTATATTCAAATGTCCCACATGGCCTGGATAGTATGCCAACTTATATGTCGACCAAGTGACCGGATATCTTGTCTATGTACCCGGTTAAGTGATGTGCATGTGATGCAAGCTGTATAGGGAGGTTAGCAACCAGAAAGGGTCCAAGTATATGTTGCGGCCAACCAATTGGCCATATATGGTTCGGTTATCTATGTAGTTGAGTCACTTATGTATAAGTGACCAAGCCAGCTTAGGCAACTTAACAGTATGTTAGCTAAACCAGATATAAATGAAAGCTAAGTCAGTTGCCGGATGGGTTTTTGCGATGGTGAGGCTAAGTCCACTTAGCTCACTTAGGGATCGGGCTGGTCATAGCAAATTCATGGTTTTGGGCGAGTACGAGTGGATCGCTTTTATTGTTATTTTCTATTTCAGGGCTTCGCAGAGTGCGAATTGCAAGAAAATTGAGCAAGCACGTTGGGGGCATGATTTGTAATTTTGAAGTTTTTGGGATGGTCTTTCAGCCAGAATTTTTTTGTTTTTCCTTTAGCTGACTTTCTGGAGAAACAGCATTTCACATGGAACGAAAGCAGAAACCAACAAGAATCTTCAAAGAAAACATGCACACCTTCCCCCCCCCAAAGCTCTTCCTTTCCTCCTGCCTCGGCTGCTGGGCCGCCTGCAGCTGCCTGTGTGGGTGCAGGCGGGCTCCTTTTTTCCAAGGGTTTTGGGGCGGGTCGTGGTTTGGTCGGAAGTTAGGCTGGGGTCGTGTTTGTTTCTTTTTGCTGCAGTTCACACACATAGCAACATGCATCACCATCAACATAAGTATGTTTGGTGCAGGTGGGAATTTAGAGTTATACACATATCTGAATAAACGCCACATATCTATATATCATTTCATGTATACACATATGTGTATGTATGTGCGTATATATACATATATATATACACACACGTGCAGATGTATATATGCACACAAACATACATGCATAGACATTGTACAGACCTATATACAGGCATACGAAGACACACAATTTAAAAGACTTGTGCATGTGTATGTGTTTATGTGTACACACATGCACACATATCTCTGTGTTTTGTGGGTTTGGCTGACACAGGCATGGTGTTGCAGGGCTGTGGGTTCAAGGAATTTCGGAGTGTATTATATAGTCCTTTTTGGTTCCCTTCTCGGTGGCTGGATTGTGAAAGGCTGTGCTCTTTGTGTGTATATATATACACAGGACCCTTGGTTTAAGTTTATACTTGTGTGATACGTTTTTGTCGGCTCTCTGCTTTTGTTGGCTCTTTTGGCTTCGGAACAACGGATTGGGACTCTTTTTCAACGTATCGTCCACTATATATGTCATGCCCACAGGCATGCATGACTTCGCAGGGTTAAACTCGCGAAGTTGAGTCAGCAGGGCAAGGCTCGCAGACTCTGATCCACGTCCCCACGACCTTTCCAATTGTGGCCATGTCGTTGTCGGAAGCACAGCGGCTGATGATCAGTGCTTACTTGCACTCGGCAGAGCAAGGCAAACTCGTCCAGGCGGTGGATGCTTTACACGATTACCTACTCCAGGAGGGCCTTGCCTGGAGACAGGTGCTGCGATGCGATTGCATTGGTGTGCACGAAGAGAACCGTGATGGTTTAGGGCTTTCAGCGGGACATGTTTCTGACCTTGTGTCGAACATCTCCAGCATCGGATTCTCGGCGGCCGAGTTTCGAGGAGTGGCTATCGAAATTCCACCAACCGCAGAAGGGGAGGCACTTCGAAGCTTCAACCGCAAGGTCACCGAGGAGAGCAATGGGAGACTGGCTCCTGCAAGCAACATCCGATTTGCATCCATCGTAGGATCGCACGCCAACCAGGCGGCGAGATGCTTCTGGTTTCAAGTTCCCCATACCGATGACAAGCTCACTGTGGACAACCGGCTTTCGCTCGAAAAGTTGAAGACCGTGGATGCCGGTTGGCATCGTGCCATCCAGGAGGGCATGCAATGGTTGATCATCTCGCATGCGGTGCCTGCTGCGTTCCCGCAGTACACCTCCCTCGCACAAGCTGCGGGGAACTCTGCGATGCAGATTGCATCGGCAGAGGGTGAGATGCAGCTGGCACGTAAGGTCAACACCGCTATAGCCAGCTTCCTCAAGCGGACCTCGAAAACGACCGTGGAATATGCGGATATCTCTGCGGAGATCCTCCGCAGCAAACCGCCCCATGCGGCATCCTTACCGCACATTTTCTCGTTCGTTCTCAAGTGCGGCGGGGGCTCCGGCGAGGGGAGCTACCTGTCGCGAACGGAACGGTTCGTGCGAGGACACGGGGTGTCCAATCGGTCGCTGGGTGCCGAGGTCTGGCAGGCCTTGAGCGCCGACTGCAAGGGTCCCAACCAACACGTGCTTTTCCGGCACATGCTGCTCAAATTGGGCTTGTGCGGAGCGACAGACAAGAGCCTGACGGTGACGGACGTCAAGAGGTCGCTCACGGCCAAAGACGTCATGGCGAGGATGGGCGAGGCAGAGACCGTGTTCTTGGAGCTTCAGAAGCTTCTGCAGGGACAGAATGCTGAGAGTGCTGAGGCGGCACTGGGGTTGTGCGAAATCCAGATGGCAGCTGTGGTTTTGCAGAAGAAGAAGCTGACCCAGTTTGACACGATTCACCAGTCGGCGGAGAAGTGCCTCGGCGATTTCGGCATTGCGAGCCCATGGACTGCAGCCAGTCAGGTCCCAGCGACATCGTCTTCAGCAAGCACAGCTGCTCGTGGTTCGTAGCTCGATGTTTGAAAGCAGCCCTTCCATCTGACCTTCTAGATATAAAAGCATATATGTCAAACTCAAACCCCAAACGTTTTCATATCCACACACACACCACACTGATTTTGTTTCACTTTCGGGATATTTATAGAAATACATACTTCTTTTATAAATCTATTTATATATATGCATTGTCATTGTTATTTACATATAAAAAAATACATATATCCCGAAAGTGAAACAAAATCAGTGTGGTGTGTGGCATGCTTGTCTCCGTTTAGCGAGTTTGGGGTATCTGTGGTCGCTTCGGCGCTTTTCCGATTGAAAGCTTGCTGTGTATATTTCTGTCGTGTTGAGGAGTCTCCGCATGTTCAATGAGCAGGGTGGCCTCGTAACCAGCTCACGTGTTTCCGATCTTGGATTTGCTGTGGGAATGAAGGTTGTCCGCAAGGCGGATGATCAAGAAGGTACCATCATGGAGATGTCGGCCGACAAGGTCCGCTTGAAGCTCAGCGACGGGAAGCTTTACGAAGCTTCCTCCGAGTCCTTCGTTCAAGGCCGCTGGAAGGAGTATGTTGTCAAGCCGGAGCCAGTCCTGTGCAAAGATTGGCTGAATTTCTCCCCCCCCAAAAGTGAGGAGTTCATTATTGCTGTCGTGAAAGGTCTCGTTTTCCAATCGATGTGGCATCAGTACGAGAACTTGAAGAACGAGAAGTTCGATGTCTTCTTGAAGCCGTCAAAGGATGTCCAAGTCAAGTCCACTTACAACGTTCACTCATTGAAGCTAGCCATTGCCAGCCCTCGTGTCGATTGTCGTTTGGTCAATGAGACTCTCCCTCCCGGAGCACTTCAGGTCGGCTTGTTTGCAACAGCCGGCAGCAAGCCAACTCACACGATTTCCGTCCTGCCGACCTTTCAGGCGCCGAAAGCCGGCTCGGGCTTTATCAACCCGCTGTGGCTCATCAAGTCTACCTCAGATCGCGAGGAAGGCAATCTAGAAATCGTCGGGGCCAACAAGCAGCAGAAGCTCACTTGCTTGTCAACCTCAGTCAATCTTCCAATGGTCCGGAATTACAAAAAACTCCAGGCGGCCGATAGCCTGGTCCTGTTCAGGCCTGACCAGCACAAGGCAGAGGAGATTGAAAATCTCCAGCCCGTGCAGAAGAAGGCGAGGAAGTAAGCATGCGGCGAGCATGCCTTCGAAGCCCAAATTTTGATGATGCACTTATTGGGCAACTAGCTCCCCAGCATGGCCTGAGATTGTATTGTGTATAGTTTAGAAGACTGCAGCAACTCGCCATAAAGTATAGGATAAACGAGTTCTGGCCACATTGCTGATCGTCATGAGGGGTCGCTTCCACGAACATAATGCGGGAGAAGCTGCTCCAGCTTCTGCGAAACACAGGTCAGGTCGCACACCATGCAAAAGAAGGATGTGCAGCTGCATGGTCTGTGCTGTGCATGGCATGCATGATGAAGTCTCGCACTTTTCCGGCTAGCTTCATGATGTGCATGCTGGTGCATTTACCGGCTGCTCTTTAGCTTTCGGAGTCAGCAGGGCATGCTCGCTGACTAGGGTTGCAGGGCCTCGCTCGCACCCGCTTGCTCAAATGTCGGGGGAGGAGAATGCCGAGGAGCTCGAAGAACAGGACGAGCAACCTTTGAAGATCTACACGGCCACGTGCATAAGCGGAGGTGGCCTGAAAGGTGTATGGATGCCCACCATCGAGGAGGCATCCGGTCTGACTTTCATCAAGCTGAACAAATGGGACCGTCAGTTAACCCAATATGTTACAGGAAAGTCCCTCAATCTTTTTTCGGGATCGAAGAAGCCCAAGAACTCTATCAACGTCCAGTGGTTTCAGACGATGACCGAGCTTCGCCGTCAAGCCTGTAACGACTCTCTGAAAAAGCTCATCGTGCAGGCTGCGGAAGCATCGGGCGGCAAGGTGCCCGAAAAAATCCGCCCAGCAACACAGGCCGACGAGTTCCTGGCAGGTCGCTTTGTCACTGTGCAGGCTCCTCCGTATAAGGACCCAGAGAACCCGGATGCCGAGGAGGTGGATGGTCCCCAGCTGAAGCTTCTGTGGAAGCTGAAGACACCGGACGTTTGGATGGAGCTGACTTTCGAGAATCTGGAATATGCCAAGAAGGCCATCCTTGGATCGCCGGCATGGGAGCAGCCCGTCAGTGCCCGGGCCAAGCACAGCCCCAGAAAGCGGCGAAGGCGAGGCCCGAAACCACGTGGTCATGATGAACTCGGTGAAGAACCGTTGAAAGATGACGGTGGCGAGGCGGCTTTGCAGAATGCACCGAACGACGAGGAGGAGGACGAGGAGTGATGCTTGTGTTTCCTGTACTTGTGTTCCCAGGATGACATTACATGATTGCAGGGTTTTATCGGCATCTCGGGCTCATGTACAAGCTTTATGAACGTTTTATACACACAGGTGTTTTTCGCTATGTCAGGGTTGATAGAGATCGTGCATCTACATGTATATATATATATATATAAATATACATATATAAATATACCTATATATACATATATGTGTCTGTATGTATATACATGAACATATGTGTAGGTGTACACACATATATACATGTATATATGTTCATGGCTACATGAATATACATACATATATATATATATATATATACACATATAGACACACATGTATTTTTGTTTGTTATAGCGGGCTTGCACCTCATGCAGGGTGTTTATTGATGGTTCTATGCGATGTTTCGAACTCTGAGGTTTCCAATCCAATCTATATTGATTTTGGGTGAGATATATATTATGTATAGCACATCGTATATATATATATATATATATAGGTTAAATAAAGCACAACATGTAATACATATATATATATATATACATATATATGTACATATATATTTACACATGTATTTGTGTAGGTACATATGTACGTATACACATGTTCACACATGTCCCACATGCATGCAGAACCCACACTCCTATATGTACCGAAAACTTCCAGCTGGGTCCCATCAGCAAGATTTTCCAGGCCTTCCGGTGATGGCAGTTTATATACTGTATATATACCCATCCATCTGTATATCCTTTTTTAAACCTCATCTAGAGTCTATAGAGGTTTTCTTCTTCTGTTTCCACAAGGAAGACATCGGAGGCCCTATAGTGATGATGCACCATGCCAACGACAATGACTTTTTTCAGAAAGTTAGCTGTGCGTGAGTTCAGGAACCGGCAGTGCTTGACTTCATGTGAGAATCAGTTCTGCTGCAGCATGCATGTCGCAGTTCTGCAACAGCTTTCCATGTCATGCGGCATGTTCTGCTCAGATCGTTTCTTTGATCGTCTGTTTTCTGGCCCGTGTGCGGGCTGAGCGGCCTTTCGAAGCATGTGCTCGACTCCCCCGTCGCCTGCAACACCTGTGGGTGTGGAGACAGCTGAGTGGCTGGAGCCCAAGACGGAGGCGGACGAGGACGGCGGCGATGGCTTCTACGAGGACACTTGGCCGATGGAGACCGAGTGGCCGGAAGGGGAGCAGGCTTGGGATGGTGAGCATGGCGACGGCACCAGCTTCACGAAGTCAGAGTGGAATCGCAAATGGGACTCTGCGTGGTACAGTGCCAGCCAGGTGAACTATGCCAGCCACGAGAACTACTACAAGTATGAGGACGACCAGGTGCACAATGGCGGGAACAAGTGGCATGGGAAGAAGGTCGCGAAGGATGCGGCATGGAGCAAGCCCTGGGTGGACCGCCGGTCGCAGAGCACATCCTCGGGCTCTTCGGGACGAAAGGGTACCTATGTGCGAGGCGGCTATGTCAGCCCAGAGGGCAAGTTCTTCACGTGCCTTGCTTATTCTTGGGATTTTTTCAGGCTTTCCTGGGCTGGGGTATATCAGGGTCTTGACGGTGCCAGCAGAACATGCATGCACTTGCAAGTCCACAGAGCTG